TACAGACCGGTTCCCGCTCACTGGCTGAGCGAGGTGCGGGCGCGACGCCGGGGGTTGCGATTCTGTTGCCGGTCCCAGTCCGGTGCGGGCACAACACTGAGGGTTGCGATCCATTGCCGGACACGAAAAAAGACAAAAAACAAAGAGTTATATCTCAGTACATGTATACAATGTGTGATGATCCATTCAGGGTAATCAGCATATTCATTGTAGCAAAACCCAATTATTTATGAGGTTCACATTTGACCTCCCCTCTTCTAGTTGCTTGGTTATGTGCAGTAAATCATTTTTAATTATAGATTTCGGGGTTGGTTGTACTATTTTAGAAAATTTTAGCCATTCTGATAGCTATGTAGTACTGTCTCATTGTGGTTTTAATTTGCTATTTCCCAAATAGCTGATTGACCATCTTTCCATGAGCTTATTTGCAACCTGTACATCCCCTTCAGTGAATGTTTCTTCATGTCTTTTGCCCATTTTCTTTATTTTTTTTGTCTTTTTTGCTTTTGCCCATTTTCTAATTGTATTGTTTGACTTTCTACTGATAAGTTTTGAGAGTTTGTGTTTTTTTTTTTTTCCTTTTTGTCTTTTTTCGTGACCGGTAATGGGATCACAACCCTCGGTGTTGCGCCCACACCGCGACCGGCAACGGGATCGCAACCCTCGGTGTCGTGCCCGCACCACGCTCAGCCAGTGAGCGGACCGGTCTCTATATGGGATCCAAACCCTCGGCGGGAGCACCGCCGCGCTCCCAAGCGCCACACTCTACTGAGTGCACCACCGGGCCGGCCCTGTGTGTTTGTTTTAATATAGTCTAGATACTACTGCTTTGTGAGACAATGGTTTCCATATATTTTCTTGCACCTGTAGCTTGTCTTATCTTCTTAAAAGGGTCTTTTGCAGAGCAAAAGTTTTTAATTTTAATGAGATCCGCTTTGTGAGACAATGGTTTCCATATATTTTCTTGCACCTGTAGCTTGTCTTATCTTCTTAACAGGGTCTTTTGCAGAGCAAAAGTTTTTAATTTTAATGAGATCTACTTATAAATATTTTTGTTTATGAATATTCCTTTTGCTATCAAGTCTAAGAACTCTTTGCCTAGTGCTGAAGATTTTCTCCTATGTTTTTTCTTAAAGGTTTTACACTTTAAGTCTATGATCCATTTTGAATTTTTGAATAAGGTGTGAGGTTTGGGTTGAGGTTCATTTTAATTTTTTTCCTTACAGATGTCCAATTGTTCCAGTATTATCTGTTGAAAAGGCTATCCTTCTCTCATTAAATTGTTTTTGTACTTTGGACAAAAAGCAGTTAAGCGTATTTGTGTGGGTCTATTTCTGGGATCTCTATTCTGTTCCATTAATCTATGTGTCTATCTTTTTGCCAATATCACACAGTCTCAATTACTATAAGTCTTGGGATTGGGTAGATTGATTCTTCCTACTTTATTCTTCTTTTTCAAAATTGTTTAAGTTATTCTAGTTTCTTTGCCTTTTCTCTTTTTTTAGTTTATTTTTTATTTATTATTATTTTTAATTTTTTAAATTGATTATGTATATTCATGGATTACAAAGCTGACTGTCATCACCTGTGCCCAAGATGTGATGGCCAGATCAATACTACCAGCATATGCATCACTATAAATTGTGATTATTCCCTGTGTCCTCCATCAAATTAATCCCCGACCTCCCTCCCCCTTGCCCACCTCTTTGCCTTTTCTTATTAAAATTTAGAAAAAGCTTATCCATATTAACAAAAAAATCTTGCTGTTTTGATAGAAATTGTGTTAAACCTATATAACAATGTGGGGGGGAATTGCCATTTTAACTATGTTGAACCTTCCAATCCATGAGCACAGTATGTCTCTCTATTTATTTAGATCTTTAATTTCTTTTATCAGCATTATGGAGTTTTCACCATTCAAATCCTGGATATATTTTGTTAGACTTACACCTATGTATTTTTTTGTGATTGTAATTTTAATTTCTGTATATAAGTATTCATTGCTAGTATATAGAAATACAATTATCTTTTTATGTTTATCTTATATCCTGTGAACTTGCTGAACTCACATATTAGTTTTAGGAGGCGTGTGTATGTGTGTGTGAGAGTGTGTGTTTGTAGATTCTATGGGATTTTCTACATAGCCTATCATTTCATCTGCAAATAAGAGGAGTTTTACTACTTCCTTTCTAATCTTTTACTTCTTTTGTTTGCCTTATTGCAGTAGCTAGAACTTCCAGTATTATATTGAATAAGAGTGGTGAGAGTGGACGTCTTTACCTGTTCCTGATTTTGGGGGGAAGCATTCATTCTTTCACTATGAAATAAGATGTAAGCTGTAGGTTTTTTATAGATGGTCTTTATGGAGTTGAGGTAACTCCCTGCTGTTCTTAGCTCCAAGAGAGGTTTCTTTGTTTTGTTTTGTTTTAATAATATATGGTTGTTGGGTTTTGTAAATTCTTTTTCTGTGTCAATTAATAAAATTGCATAATTTTTCTTCTTTAGCTCGTTGATATGCTGGATTACATTAATTGATTTCAAATGTTGAACCAGCCTTGCATACCTGGAACAAATCCCACTTGGTCATGGTGTATAATTCTTTTTATACATTGGTGGGTTTAGATTGCTAGTATTCTGTTGAAGATTTTTGCATCTAAGTTCATGAGATATATTGGTCTGTAGTTTAAAAAATTTATATATATATATTTCTTTGTCTGATTTTGGTGTCAGGGTAATAATGGCCTCATAAAGTAGGTTGGAAAGTGTTCTTTCCTCTTCTATGTTTTGGAAGAGATTGTGTGAAAGTGGCATTAATTCTTTAAATGTTTGGTAGCATTCTCCAGTGAAAGCATCTGGGCCTGGAGATTTCATTTTTGAGAGCTTTTAAATGATAGAACTATATTAATATATAATTTAATTATGTAATTAAATTAATTAATTATATAAAATGTAGCCTTATATTTTTGTAGCCTTATATGCCCCAAATAGCTGACTAGAAAAATGGTTTTTTACTTTACCAGAGGAAGGATGTCAGAGAGGACCAGGCCACCCTCTCTCCAGCTGGTGCTTTTCCTTTCCATCTCTTGCATAATTTCAAGGTTAGGGGTGGGGAAGTCAGGAAGCCTCATGTGTGGGTACCCCAGGTGTTTCCTCACAGCGCAGAGAGTGAGATGGAGCTGTGTCACCAGGGTGTTAAATTAGAGAAGGGGCAGGGGAATGAGGCAGCATGTCCCTAGCAGTGCTGCCATCCCCTCATGGTCACAGGGCTAGGAAACCATCAGCAGGTGCCAATCTGGAGACAGGCACAAGTCCTGGTGAGGGCCCCAGCCCCTCACCACTGTGCTGCCGATGTTATCACTGTGACTGTAACAGCAAAGGGAGGCAGGTGTTGGGCATTAAAAGAGGAGCGTGTGAAAGGGGAAGAGAAGGACCACAGCACAGGGTCCAGACTGCACCCTGGGGTTACATGTGAGGATGCCTTTTGGGCTTTGGGTCTGCTTCAAGTCCTTAGGAGTGCAGGTTCAGCTTCCCAGGCTCTTTCATTCTGTGCAAACCATAGACCCAATGTATGCACACTCTGGGCTCAGAGTACGTATTTAGGTGAGCAGATGCTTGTGTCCCAGGCTGGCTCAGGGGCCTGCTGTCTTCCTGGGGTGGAGTCTCCAAGCTGGCTTGGTGCCCCTCTTGGCTGGACTCTCTCCACAGCAGACCTGAGCCTACACTTCCCAGCTGGTAGCTGATACCCCATTTGGCCTTGTTGGGGGACGTGAAAGAATGTGCTTTGGTACCTGAGGATGGCAGCAGCAGCAGGAGAGGGAGGTGATGAGAAGCTGGCAGGAGCTGGCATGGGTTTGCCGTGAAGTGGTGGGAGGCTAAGGTTTTGCAACTTACTTAAGGTCACATAGTAAGTGACAGAGTCAAGGCCTAGATCCAGGTCAGTCTGACTTAAGAGTCATAAATATTGTGCCTCAGTTTTCTCATTTGTACAGTGGAGAAACTAATGGTCATTACCTCCCAGTTTGGTCATGATGATTAAATGAGATAATCATGTCACAATCTAGCCATGGCCTAGGTAGAACATGGTAAGTGCTCGATACCTATTAGCCATTACTATTATTAATATTAATATGCCATTTTATCACCAAAGGCAGAATACAATGATACTAGCAAAAATTTAGCATTAACACAAGTATGATGAAATTAGAGTTATTTCTGGCCCATAAACACGTGAGGCCTTTCATTAGAAACTAATTTGAAGCTGTGGCATTCTTCCACTATGAGCCCCCTGTCAGCCTGTCTATTTGCCTTGATCCCAGATGGAGTGGCCATTCTGCCTGCGCCCCAGAACCTCTCTGTACACTCAGTCAACATGAAGCATCTCCTGACATGGAGCCCAGTGACCGTGCCTGGAGAGACAGTATACTATTCTGTCGAGTACCAGGGGTGAGTTTTTTTTTTTTTAATCGTTTTTCTCTTTTAGGCAGCACTTGGTTTCTGGAGGCAGAGCCCTTCCTCCTTGTCTCAAGGAGGCTTTGTGAGCCCAGGGATGGATTATCTCTAGTGATCTGCCCCCTCTGTCTACATGGGCATTGGGAAAGTTAAAGAAGCAAGGGAAATTGTCCCGTGGATTTGACAGTGAACTCTCTGGGAACACGAAAGTGTACAAACGCATTTTGGTGGATTTCAACAGTGAGTCAACTGTCCAATGAGTTTGATTGTGACTTGAGATGGACAAATCATTGGAGACAGATCCTTTGAGGGTAGGGGAGACCTCAGTTTTCCTGACTATGAGCTTACACCTAGGAGCCAAAACAAATCTTGACCCTAAAGGTCAGCTGGCTCTAGGGCCAAACAGGCTCTAGTTTTTTCCAGGTGTCCAGGCAATTGCAGCTGTTTAGGAGTGAGAAAGACACAGAAAATACTCAATGTATTTCACTAACAGTGAATACAAACTGAGCACCTACATGTGTAGACATTCTTGCAGGCTCAGGGATACAGTTGACAAGGATTCTGGATATAGGGAGCTAGTATCTACAGGAGGAGACAGATAGTGAATACACTAGATCTGACTCTCCAACGTGGTAGGCACTAGCCACAGGTGGCTTTTTAAATTTAAGTGAATTAAAATTAAATTAAAATGTCTGTTTCCCAGTCACACTAGTCACATTTCAGGTGCTCAGTAGTGTATGGAGCAACACCAGTAGGGAACATCTCCACCATCACTGCAAGTTTTCCAGGTCAGCACTGCTCTAGGTGATTTTTGGATGGTGATCAGAGCTAGGAGGAAGCTAAAAGGCTGATTGTTGACTCTGCGGCACCTTCATATTATGTCATCAGGGAAGGCGTCACTGAGGAGGTGATGTTCATGCCATATCTGGCGGGCAGGAGGAGCCAGCCATGTGGACAGAGGGCGCAGAGCATTTGAGACAGGGTGAACAGCTGGTCAAAGGTCCTAAGGCAAAAAGAGCCCAGCATTTTGGAGGAATGATCAGAAAGCCAGTGTGGCAAGAACACCATGCTTAGGTGCGGGTGAGAAAGAAGTCCGAAGAGTCTGATAGGCCGTGGGGAAGAGTTTGGATTCCATTCCAAGTGCTGTGGGGAGCCGTGAGGGAGAGCGGGGGGTATTTGAGGAAGGGCAGGTGAGGAAGCCGGGAGACCGCAGCAGGGTGCAGTGTGGCAGCGGCTGAGATCAGCTGGTGTCCATGCAGATGGCGGGGCCTGGCAGATTGGGACTTATGCCTAGGTTTCCCGTGTCTGGTGATAAAAGTGGCGTAAGGGAGAATGGATGGTTGGTGAGGGTGGAGACTGGAGGAACTGGGGAGTGGAGCAAATGCTAATTTTGCTGGCCCATAAAAAGTGGGGGAATGAAGGTGGTTATGTGCAGCCATCATCGGGCCTGGATCAAAGGGACTGGTGTGACACTGTGCCCTCTTCTCCTTGGCCAGGGAGTATGAGAGCCTGTACACGAGCCACATCTGGATCCCCAGTGGCTGCTGCGCACTCACTGCAGGCCCTGAGTGCGACGTCACTGATGACATCACGGCCACTGTGCCATACAGTCTCCGTGTCCGGGCCGCGCTGGGCCCACAGACCTCAGCCTGGAGCACCCTGAAGCACCCCTTTAATCGAAACTCAAGTAAGGCACTTCTGTCTGTACTGCACCACCCTCACCAGCCTCCCCTGCAGGAACCATATTCACCTGGACTTCCAGACTCTTTTTAGCACCAAAATAGTCCTGCAAAGCCACAGTATTGTGAACACAAACAGTCCTTATTGGTACATCCTAAAAACTGCTGACTTTGGCTTTGGAAGTCATTCCTGACCATTTCTGCCAGGGTCTGAAGTGGTGGGGACGCTGACATTGGGAACCTGGAAAGCTGCTGTGGAAGTGGGGAGATGACACTAGACTGTTTCTTCCTACCTTCCTCGTGCCTCCATAGATCTCGTACTGCCTCCCATCTGGTGCCTTGTTAATCCCATATTTACTGCCCATGTAAGCAGCTTCATTGTGCAAAAGGATCTATACATTTAACAGAGCCACCAGAAACAGTTGCCCTTCTGTGGTCACTGGGAAATAAAAAGCTTTCAATTGCAGTAGTATCTGGAAAAGGATGGAGAAAGAAGAGAAGAATCCAGATACGTGGCCAAATATGGCTGAGTGTAAGGCAGTGTGTCAAAGGATGTGTATGTTTGTGGAACAGCAGAGGCAAGGGCTGGATGGGTGGGGGATAGGGAAGCAGCTGGTCACGTGTTGAAGGGCTTTGGTCAGGTCAGGAGAGGGAGCCGTGGAAGAGCAGAGGGTCTTGGCCAGATCTGCCTTACATCACTGGCTGCTGTGTGGAAAATGAACCGGAGTAGGGCAAGCCTGCAGGACAAGGTGAAAGTGAGTAGGGGCTTGTAGACTCCAGCTGAGCCAAGGTGAGTCCTGATCCCAGGAGTGGGTGAGGAGAAGGAGAAATGCGGATGAGTTCAAGTAACATGGCTGAGTTAGAAAGGACAGAGCTTGGGGACCAGCTGTTGGGGGATGGAGTGGGGAGAGACAGCGATGGTGTTCAGCTTCTGAGGGGGGTTGGTGAGAACACCGTCCAAGGCAGAGAACCCAGGAGGAACAACTGGTCTTGAGGAAGAGGGGACACCCCTGGCTTTGTATTCTTTGAGACTGAGGTTCCTGAAAGATTTTATGCCACAGATGTGAGGCCCTGGGACTCAGAGAGGTCAAAGCTAGACACACAGCACGTAACTAAAGGCTTGGGAGTGCAGGAGACTGGGGGACAAAGAAAACCCAAGACAGGGTCCTGGGAAGCCTCAGGATTTAAAATGTGGATGGAGAGAAGGGCACCAGTGGTGGCCGGGCAGGTGGAGGGGGGACACGAGGGGAGAACAGAATAGCTCCTGACAGGCTGAAGAGGCCCCTGCATGGGCCCTTGAGAAAGTGACTTCATGGAGTGGAGGAGATGACAGTCTGCTGTGGGGAGGAGGACTGAGTGGAGGTGGGCAGGAGCAAGGCAGCTTCTCCTCTGAGACAGGCATGGGCTGGAATGTGACCAGTTTGGAGCTGCAGAAAAGACAAGGAAAGGGCCTTTGGTGGCCTCCATTTTCTTGATGTGGCAGAAGTGGTTGTGAGTGAGGGCAGAGGAAGGCTGAGGCCACATCTGCAGTAACAGGAATAGTTAGAGGTTACCAAGGAGTGTGTGATACTGGGTGGAAATCAGGAGGGTTTAGAAGGTTGGGGAGCCCACGCTGGAGAGGCTGCGGAAGGTGACAATAACTTTGAAGGGGAAATTGACCCTGTGAAGTCAGACAGATGTGGTTCAAATCCCAGCTCAGCCACTTGACAGCTGGCTCAGTTATTGGTAGGTATGTTTATTATTATTGCCCTAGAAATGCCCAGAGTTGAGAGCCAGAGAGCAGAGGAGGGAAGGGGTGGGGCAGGAATAGGATGGTTGGAATGGGTATCAAAAGGAATTTTGGTGTAGGATGTGGGCTCCTCTGCCCAGGCCTCCTTCCTAGGCACTGGGAGGATTTGGTTGAAGAAGCAGGATCCCAGTGCCAGGCACTGGGGGATGATAAGGGGCCCTAGAGGGCACTTCAGCTCTGCTTCTGCCCATGGCATCAGACAGCACCCAGCACCACCCCCCTCTGGCTCCTGGGAACATGGGGCTCCAGCCAAGACCATCGCCGGGGGTTGGTGGCTGCTGTTGGAGGGAGAGCATGGGTCAGATGGAGATAAGGGAGTGCCTGCAAAACTATGTGGGTGGGGGTGTGTGGTAACAACTTGCGCCAGTATAAACAGGAAAAGTTCTGTTGCAGGAGGAGCTGAGGAACAGGAGTCTCTACCTGCATCAGAATGCGGAATATGTGGTCCTGTGCAGGCAGAGTTAGCAACTGGGCTGGGATGGCATTGTGATGTTTTAAGGGCATTAAGTCTGTCTTTCCTATATGAAAAAGGCCAGTCTGACTTCTCCCCAGGCACGTGAAAAATCTTGTTTTAAGACTTTCCTGAAAAGGATCTCCTGCTCTTAAAGGGAAGCCTTGTTGAGAGCAACCTTGACTGCACATTCAAGTTACAGAGGAGCTTTAGAACTACTTATGTCTGGGGCCCATCCCCAGAGAGTCTGATTTAACTGATCTGTGTGTGTTCTGTTCATTGGGAGTTTAAAATTCTCTCCAGTTTATTCTCATCTACAGCCAGGGTTGAACACCCTAAACAGGGGAGGTCAGAAATGTAGAAAGACGTGGGCTCGAATTCTGGCCATTGACTGTGTGACTTTGGGCAAGTCACTTAACCTCTCTGGGCAACAGGAATAGTATTTACCTTCTTAAGCTTCCTGGGTGGATTAAATGAGATAAGTATGCAGAGTGCATAGGTTACAAAGGTTTCTTATTTATTTTTCCTTTTTGTCTTTTTTCGTGTCCGGCAACGGATCGCAACCCTCAGTGTCGCGCCCGTACCGGACCGGGACCGGCAACGGGATCGCAAACCTCGGTGCTGCGCCCACACCTCGCTCAGCCAGTGAGCGGGAACCGGTCTATATGTTGGATCCGAACCCTCGGCGGGAGCGCTGCCGCGCTCCCAAGCGGCGCACTGTAGCAGTGCGCCACCTGGCCGGCCCTAAAGGTTTCTGCCCCAACACTGTCAAAAATTTCTCTGAACTGAACCTTTAGGTCATTTTCTCTAATACTATTCTCACTAAAGATGAAGATCAGAGGACCCAATTGTAAACATGTTTGACTTAAAAGTGGAGTCAACCCACTCTTTCCTTCTGGAGGTGTTTCCAAGGTAGTGCTAGTGGTGCTGTGTGCTCATATGAAGCCTCCAGACTGGGTGTGTTTGCATAGTTGGCCTTGACTTCTCAAGGCCTCCTGTCCCCTATCCAGGCAGCTTGTCAATGCCCAGACATACATTCTTCCCTGATAAGGCAGGTGAGGGGGAAATGCTTTGCTCTCTGAAAACTCCCTCCAGAAACTGTTTTTCTCCTGACCGTCCACTGACCCCATTGTGGGGGGATTTATTTAGCTCAGAACACAGCCTACACTACTTCCCAAGCCAAGACCCAACAATTGGGATGGCCCTTCTGGTCCCGCAGTGTCTGGATGTAGAGGCCAGCTTGGCTCCATTTTCACGGGCCAGGGAGTAGAGAGGGCTTGTGTGGGCCCTTCTGTTCTTGGCCTGCTTGTGGGAAAGTATCCACAGTGGCTTTTGGCCTCTCTGTTTGGGACTTGGCAATGTGAAAGATGGTGTTTGTGCTCATGCTGTAATTTCTAGAGTTGATTATTGGAATTTGCAAAAAATCCTCTGACTTGCCAACTCCCTCAGTCAGGATATGAGATGAAGAATCCCTGGGCTGAGAATAGAATGGCCAACCTATCCATAGGCTGCTGATTTGCTGATGTTTGAAAGTCATCAGTAGCCAGTATGTGCCACTGAACTGTGTGAGCTATAGGGGTGCACCTGCCCCTGCCAGGTATGTTCATTCCTAAGGGGCAAAGACCGGGCCCTACTGTGTTCAGAGCCGAGCTCACATAGGTGTTTGGCAAGCATCAAGATACAGCAGCTGCTCACTTAGATGAGCCAAGGCGAGGAGCAATTTCTGCTGAAAAAGTGTGGGGGTGGGGGGTGAGGGAAAGAACATGAATCATAACATTTTAAGAAAGAAAGAGATAATGTTTCCTTGAATATTTACACTCTTGAGTATTTGAACCTCCTGGAGAAGGAACAGAGAACTTTATTACAGTCAAGAGCTAAAAAAAAGGGAATTGTGGTAAGTCTTTGTCATTTATTCATCATTCAAAAAGCATTTACTTGGACACAAGAAACGATTACGTTTTGTAAAGATGAACATGCTAATTATCCTAATTCAATCATCACACACTGTACACAGGTGTTGATGTTTAACTCTGTACCCCATAAATACATATAATCTCCTATGTTTCCATAAAAAAAAGACATCTAAAGGGAGGAAGAAAACATTTACTGAGCACCTGCTGAGTACAGGACAGTATACATGTATATGTTTTTGCATGCTGTGAAGCCATAACTGATCCCCTCCCTTCCCTACGGGCGCTGGCACATCTCCGCCAATGATATGGTCATTGTGTTCCAGGGAAATCAGTACTGTTCAGGGCTGACTTTGATTTTCCTCTTGTCTTGCCAACAGCCATCCTCACCCCCCCTAGGATGGAGGTCACCAGGGATGGCTTCCACCTGGTTATTGAGCTGGAAGATCTGGGTCCCCACTTTGAGTTCCTTGTGGCCTACTGGAGGAGGGAGCCTGGTGCAAAGGTAAGACTTCCAGTCTTGGCCTTTGAGTCAGGCTTTGGGAGGGAGGCATAGATCTCTGGGTGTGGGTGTGGAAAGCTGGCCCCCTGGAGTGCTCACTGTCTGGGGGTGGGTGTGGAAAGCTGGCCCCTGGAGTGCTCACTGTCTGGGTGGCCTGAGAATGAGCAGTCCTGGGTGAAGTGTACAAAAGGGGAGATGAAAGTACACTGACCATCCTGGCAGCCTCTTCTTCAAGGGACTACTTTGGTCCATCCCAGGCCTTGGCTGGAAGCCTTTTCAGGCCAGATCTGTTGAAGTGGGGGAGGGGAGGAGGCTGCCTCCTTGCCCTGAACTCTAACCTAGTTAGACCCACAATTTTCAATGCATTTTTTTCCTCCCTCATCAGCTGGTCTCCTCAGCAACTTAGAGGCAGCAGGCCAGGGTGTTCCAGATTAACTGGATGATTCCAAAAGCCTGTGAGGTTTGTCTGTGCCTCTTGAGGGTGTGTATCTTGGCAGGGTGCAGAAGTGAGCGCAAGGAGCCAGGAGCTGCCTTACGAATAAACCAGTCTCATTATGAGCGGGTGGACCACGCAGGATGCCTAGACGGCCTGCTGCCTCTCCCCATGGGAAGGTCGCTGCAGCCTGGGTTGGGTAGGAGGCCAGCTGCAGGAGGGATGGAGCTCAAGTAGGACCTAGAATACAGACAGACATGTGGAGCCCTCTCCAAGCTGACACGGTGTAAGGCCTAGAGGCCACTTCATCAGCACAAGGAAAAATGGACTTTATCATAAGCATTACTACGGCACAGTAAGGGGCTCTCACAGACTCTCTGAGCTGGAGCAGGGCCAGGCTGCAGCCCAGCCTCATTCTCCCAGGCACCCTTGCCCGTGGAGTCCTTGCTCCCCTCTGTGGCCCTCTCCCCAGCTTACTCCAGGACCCAATCCCTCATCACATGCCCATCATGTTCCTCCCCAGTCCTCAGGGGCTCTCAGGCCTGACTCCTCCACTCCTCTTTGACCCTACTTCTAGCTCTAGGTATTCAGTTTCCCAAGACTAAATCCTTAGGAGAGGGGTTAATTGGTTTTCTCATCTTAACAGGCCAGTCCTTGGGGTCTCAGGTAGCCAGCTCGCCTCTGATTTGACCCTCCTCAGGCTGGGGTACCCCTGATCTTGTAGCAGGGTCTGGGGCAGGGCACATGCCCCCCACCCACTCAGTAGGGCCTATTGGTTGGGCAGGTTCCCCTTGAAGGTGGTGTGGGCAGGCAGGGCAGGCAATAATGCTGGGTTCCAGTATTTACTCCTGCTGGGTCAGGGCCCACTGGTAGGACATGGCATTGCCAGCGAGGCAGATGGAGCGATGTGGGAACAGGTCAGAGCCTGAGCAGGAGAGAGCATGCAGCTCCCTCAGATTCTTTGGGATAGAGCCCACTTCCCACCTGTGGTAACTGGCAGGGCCGGTGCTGAGACCAGAGTGTAGTCTGAGTCATTTGGGCTTGGCCCAGACATGCCTCCACAGGCTCACATGGGGAGCGCAAGCTTTGGGGAGGGGGGTGGAGGTGAAGAGGTGGACAGATGGATGGACAGATGGGTGGATGGACAGACAAGTGAGGACCAGCTGCCCACTGGCTCAACTGCTCCTACGCGCTGACCCCCCTGGCAGCAGTGGCCATGCCAAGCCCCCATTCAGTCAGACTTCCAACCTTCGGGTCTCTGCTCAAATATGACCCTATTATAGAGGCCTTCTCTAACGACTCTGTTTAAAATGCTCTCTACTTCTTTGTCCTGCTTTTTCCTTCACAGCTCTTATCACCACCTGATGTGTATTTATGTGTTGTCTGTCTCCCCCCACATAAGCTCCATGAGAGCTAATGTGCTATTGTCTCTTTGTTTTGTTCAATGCCATGTCCCTGTGCCTAGAACAGTGCCTGGCACATAGCAGGTGCTTAGTAAATATGAACGAATGAATGAGTGAATGAATACATGCATGCATGAACGAGGAGGAACACTTTGTATGCATTCAAGAAAAGCAATATCTGCAGCTTTTCCTCCCTGGCTCTTCTTGCCCTTTCCAGTACTGCTGCCCTCAAGGAGTAACTGTTTTTTGGTTTCCCAAAGGAGCATGTCAAGGTGGTGAGGAGTGGGGGCATTCCGGAGCACCTGGAAACCATGGAGCCAGGGGCTACATACTGTGTGAAGGTCCAGACATTGGTGAAGGCCATTGGGAGACACAGTGACTTCAGCCAGGCAGAATGTGTCGAGGTACAAGGTAAGGAGGGCCTGCTTGTCCCCTGAAGCCCTGCACAGGTTCTGAGTCTTCCCTTGATCTCCCTGTCCTGCGCCCAGGCTGGGTATATTCCCATGGTGAAAGTGTCCACAGTCACTCTAATTTTCCTAGAAGCAGAGTGCATCCTGGGGCTGGGTGGGAATACTAGCTGTTTGAAACACTTGCCCCTGACAGCTTCCTTAGCCAGGGGCCAGCCTGTTGCAAGGCTGGTTTACCAGATGTCTGCAGGAGAGGCAGCCAGGGGTTTCAGAGAGTTAGACTTTGTAAGGAGGCACCAATATCGTATAATACCACAGCTTCTTTCATCTGGAAGGGACCTTACAGAAAGTCTACAGAATCCTCTTGTTCCACTTAATTTTCTTCCTTGAATTTTTCATAGTCGAAAAACCTACAATGTTAAAAAACCCTTTGAAAAGAAAAAAAACCAAACAAAACCATATATCTCATGATTCTGCTACTCAAACACTGCTAGTTGCATTTTTGTATATAACCATTCAGTCTTTTAAAAAATTATTATTTTGAATATATAGTACATTCATATGGTTCAAAAAATATGATACACATAGAAAAACTCTTTTCCTCTCCTCTTCCCTATCCATATACTTCCCACACTCTCTCTCATAGGTGTTAGCTCCTTGTATGTCTTTCTGAAGACTTTTTAATGTAAATACAAGTAAATGAAAACATATTTATATATCTTGCCCTTCTTTTCAGCACAAATGGTAGCAGAGTCTATGCACTGTTTTCACTTTATGTATCTTGTAGATTTTTCCACATTGATAAAGAAATTCCTTCATCTTTCTTTATACAGTGTTCCATTATATCTTGCCCTTCTTTTCAGCACAAATGGTAGCAGAGTCTATGCACTGTTTTCACTTTATATATCTTGTAGATTTTTCCACATTGATAAAGAAATTCCTTCATCTTTCTTTATACAGTGTTCCATTATATATATATATATATGAAATACTGTATACATGCTATAGACCTATTGCATATCACCTTGTACCTGTTTTTTTTCACAAATACTATGTCCACACATGTTCCATGCAGATTTTCTGATTACCATTTTATACTACTTTTAAAAATCATATAAGTCAAGCTGATTTAATAATTCAAACAACACAGAAGTATGTGAAGCAAGAGGTAAATGTTCTCCGTTCTCCCCTACATCCCTCAGGAGGTTTCCTTTGGTGTGTTTGGCATTTAATCCTCCAGTCATTGTGTCACCAATGTTCACGCACATGAATGGGGCTATGCTGCACCTGCTGTTCTGTGCCTGGCTTGTCTTCACCTAGTAGTAAACTGTGAACATCTTTTCATGTCAGTATATATGTGTCTACCTCATTTTTAAAAAAGATTCATAGTAAGCCAATATATGGATGTGCGTATTCCTTTTAATAGGTATATCCTGTGCTTTTCAGTCTTTTGCCAGTACAAACCACACTGTAGTGAACAAGTTTGTATATATTTTAATTCTCATTTGAATAGCCGAATTACTAACCTACCATGCTGATGCCCCATAATATATTAAATCATCCCCTATTTTTGGTATTTAAATCATTTCTATTTGCTTTGAAGGTGATGTTCATTCTTTTATGAAGTGAATACGTATTGAGCATTGACTATGTGCCAAGTCATGGCCTAGGCACTGATGCCCAGCAGGGAAGTCCCTGCCTCATGGAACCTGCCCTCTAGTTGTGGGAGATGGACTACAAACAAGTAAACAAATGGGATAGTTTCACTAGGTGTTACGTGCTATTAAGAAAATACATTCAAGCATGCCTGGGATGGTGGGAGGTGTAGATGTGCCACTTTGGACAGAGAAGGAGATTGGTTATGAGGCCATTGCCGTAGTCCAGATAAACTGACTTCTACATATAACTGTTCCTTGGAATTATTTTTTGGAATTAAAATTGCAGGAGTATATGAAAGGGTATAAGCGTTTGTGTGTCTCTTGATGTGTACTGCCAAAATATTTTCCGAAAGCATTGAAGCAATGGACAGTGCCCCCAGCCACACGTGTAAGTCCACCAGCTTCTCCAAGCCTCACTGGCTGAGCTGCCTGTCACATTATGGGTGAGCAGCTCGGCCAAGAACAGCTAAATGTTGCTCAAAGTTACATTCAACAGAGAGAGGGGAAAATAACCTGTCCCTTATTCAGATGCTCAGACCTGGCTCTTTCTGCCACATTTATTTAGTAGAATGAGTAAAATGACCATGGGCTTTGCAGCTAGTCCTACTTGTGTGATCTGGGGTAAGTCACCTAACCATTCTGAGCATAGATTCCTCTTCTATAAAAGCAGGGATACTCACACGCATTGTGAAGAACAGGGAACTACACGTCCAGCACTTAGCACGGTGCTGGAAGGAGGTAGTAGTCCTAACACACGTAACAGGGGCTTGATATATGTGACTGTTTTCTGAACTCAGTGTTATCCTGCATGATATGAAATGATGCCAAGAGCAAATTGCAAAACGCTCTTTGTTTTCAGTTCCCGCCCCGTTCTGTTCTGTACTGTTCCCTCGCAGCACCTCCTCCTCATCCTGCTGGGACCTGGCGCTCTGCCTTCCTCCTGGCAGCAGTGCCAAGGTACGTGCGAACATGGCTGGTGCCTTCACCTGTGATGCTCCTCCCCATCCCTTCCCAAGAGGAAGATTTAATCTCCCTTGGGGCGTTCTGGAAACCATGCTTTATTCTGTATTCTAGAAAAATGGTTTTAATGGTGGTAATTTTAGTCACCAGGGCACACATCAGATCTCAGGATGTCCTGGCCAGTGTGCAGAGCTGACTCCAGGAAACCGGCGGGAGGCCCATGATCGGAGATTTCATCTTCATGGTGTTTCCTGAGCCTCCCTTTATCTGTTTGCTTCCAGGAGAGGCCCTCCCCCTGGGGCTAGCCCTGTGTGCACTTGCTGGCTTCGTGCTGATCCTTGTGGTTGTGCCGCTCTCCATCTGGAAAATGGGCCGGCTGCTCCAGTACTCCTGTTGCCCCGTGGTGGTCCTCCCTGACACCTTGGTAATAGCATTCTTTTTTTCCTCTCAGCATGACACTGACCAGGTAGTTTTGGCCTTAATTGGGCATGGGCACACATTTCGTGGTCTACAGGCATTTGCACAGAGAGGGGAGAAGAGCACTTATAGGACTTCACTTCTAATCAGAGGGGCTGGGAGAGACCTCCCTTCTCCAGGCAGTGGTGATCTCCTCGAGGCTCCTGGCAGGCTGCCTCTGCTTTTCTCCAGGACCTGGCATGGCCAAGAGAGCAGGCGTGTTGCCCAGCCCAAGGTGCTTGGCATTTTAGGAGTCATGCATAGTCTTACCCTTCTGGACTGGCCTGCCACATTTTTTTTTTTAATCTCTTTTTTAAAAAATTTTTTTATTTTTTTAATTGAAACGTAATTGATCATATATATCTGTGGGGTACAGAGTTGAATATCAATACCTGTGTGCAATATGTGATGCTCAAATCAGGATAATTAGTATATTCAACATTATACAATGTTATAGTTTTTTGTGGCCTTTTACCAATTCCTCCCTTATCCCTCTCCCCGTCCCTCTTTCCCACCTCTGGTAACCTCGGTTCTGTTTTCACCTTTCGAAAGTTCAACGTGTTGTGATTGTTGTATCTTTCTTTCTTTTTTTATTTGTTTGTTTATTTTTTAGCTTCCACTTATGAGTGAGGACTTGTGGTATTTCTCTTTCTGTGCCTGGCTTATTTCACTTCAAGTTTTTTCTAAGTTCATCCAGTTGCTGCGAATAGCAGAATTTCATTCTTTTTTATGGCAGAATAGTATTACATTGTGTAAATACACCACATTTCCTTACCTACTTGTCCAACAATGAACATGTAGGTTGGTTCCAACTCTTGCCTGCCACAATTGCAGCAGGAGCTACATCCAGTGACACGTTATGACACAACATATTCACTTCACCTGCCAGGAGCCTCACTGGTTCTCAGGGTGAAGGACATGTGTGTGAGTGGGAGAGGCATTGACCACGCTTTGCCTTTGGTGGGGGCCTGGTGGTGTGAGGGGGCAGCAGTCTGCATCTTCATAGTGACTATTCCTCACAAGCCCAGGATTCTTAACTTACCCCTGAGGACACTGGACCACAGATCTGAGTCTCTCCAGTGCGGACAGGTCCTGCGTGCCCATGCCATGGTGGGGGAAAGCAAATCAGGCCTCTATCAGCTCCCCATATGTTCCATCTGGCTGCCCCCCAGTTCCCTTCTCCCTGTCCCCCGACCTCAACCATACAAAGCAGTGCAAGAAAACAAAAGAACACAACAACGAACAAAAACAAAAACATAAAAGCCTCATCCCTGTCACTCCGGGGGTTTCTCACAGTTTTCTCCTGGGAGGAGGGAGCCAGCAGTCACCTTCTGGACAGCAACTAGAGACAGAACCGCCTGCACTCTATACATGCCTGTAGTTCCTTATCAACCTGGAGTCACTCTGGAAGGAGTCACTCTCGTGACATCTGCCTGGTCCTGCTTTCTCTACCTACACAGGAGGAATAACTCTCCCTGCAAACCAGTCTTCAGGACACCTCCACCCTGTTCTCCTGATGCCAGCCCTCCTTTTCTCTCTAGTAGTTCCAGGCAGTCATAACAACTTCAGCTGACACTAACTAGTACAGAGCTAAGTGCCAAGTGCTGTTCTAAGGATTTACATATATTGACTTGTTTCATTTTCTCCTTTTCATAAAGCTTAGCAATGTCCCTTTACCAGTTTCCCCTCCAGCCCACTCTGAGTGACTGAGGCCTTTCTGCCATACATAAAGGCAACGTGGTGTATCAAACACAGGGGAAGGGAGGGTCTTCATTCCTCTTCAGCAAGAACTGAGGTGCTCAATGAACCCTAAAGCATAAGAGGATATATATTCTGCAGTTGTTGGGGTAGTGTTTTATAAATATCAATTAGGCCAAAATGTTTCACAGCATTGTTCAGGTCGTCTTTGCCGTTACTGATTTTTTGTATAGTTGTTCTATTAACCATTAAGAGAGGGATGCCAAAATACCAACTATGAGTGTGAGTGTGCTTCTCCCTTTGTGTCAATTTTTCCTTCCTGTATTTTGAGGCTCTGTTTTAGGTGCATACACATTTATGATTGGTATTTCTTCCTGAGTCTTTTATTATTATGATATGTTCCTCTTTATCTCTGGTAGTCTTCATTGTGATATCAGTATAGCCCACTTGTTTACTGTTTGTATGGTATATCTTTTTTACATACGTTTACTTTAAAGTTATCTGTGTATTGATATTTAAAGTGTGCCTCTGTAGACAGCATATAGCTCATCTTGTTTTCTGTTTTTTTAATTTTATTTTAAGAAATCCATTCTGACAATCTCTGCCTTTTAATTGGAGTGTTTAGTCCATTAACATTAAATGTAATTATTGGTATGGTTGGATTTAGGTCCATGATTTTATTTTCTGTTTCTTCCATCTATTTTTTTTTCTTTTTTAAAAAATCTTTGTTCTTCCTACTCTGCCTCTTTTGGGGCTAATTAAAAAATTTTAAGAATTACTCTACAATTTATCTATTGATGTTTCAGTTATCCTTCTTCACATTATTTTTTCATGCTTGTCCTAGGAATTGCAATATACATGTTCTTAACTTTTCCAAGTCTACATAGAACTAATATTATATCACTTCATATAAAACGTAAGAATTTTGCAATAATTTTTGCTTAAATAGTCGTATGTATTTTAAAGGCATTTAAAGTAATCTTTTATATTTACTCACATATTTACCATTTCTGGCACTCTTTCTTCTTTCCTGAGATCTGCATTTCCATTCGGTATGGCTTCTCTTAAGTCTAAAAAACTTTCTATCATAGGTTTGGTAATGCATATCTGCTGGTGACAAAGTCTTGGACTTCTTTTATTAGAAAATACCTATGTTTTGCCTTCAGTCTTGAAGGACATTTTTGCTGGATTCTTGGTTGACTATAGACTTTGCTTTCTACTTTAAAACTGTTGTTTAATTGGCTTCTGACTCCACTGTTTCTGATAAGAAGACAGACATAATTTTTAGCATCATTCCCCTATATGAAACGTGTCCTTTTTCTCTTGCTGCTTTCAAATTACCATTGGTTTTTAGCAGTTTGAGTATAATATGCCTAGGAATGTGTATTAGTCCATTTTTGTTGCTTATAACAAAGTACACTGAACTGGGTGATTTATAAAGAAAATTAAATTTATTGCTTACAGTTTCTGAGGCTGAGATGTCCAAAGTCCATCTGGGGGTGGTGTCAGTGACCTAGGGAAGCAGAGAGAGACACTCTCCTTTTCTTTTAAAGCCCTCAGAACCACACCCCTGACCACCATTTTTAATCCATTCACTACTGCATGTTCCTACAATCCAATCACCTCTTCAAGGCTCCACCTTACAATTACCATAATAGGATTTCCTGCCCTCTTAACAGTCCCAGTGAGGGCTAAGTTTCTAATACATAAAACTTGGGGTACACAATTCAAATCTTGGTGAGTTTTGGGGGGACATAATTCACTGCACTACAGAATGGTTCACTTTACATTTATCATGCCTGTGGTTTACTGAGCTTCTCAAATCTGTAAATTTATATTTTTCACCACAATTTGGGAAAATTTCAGCCATATTTCTTCAAGTAGTTTTTCTGTCCTATTCTCTTCTCTCTTTCTGTGACTCCAATTTCATGTACATTAGACCTTTAGGTATTGTTCCCACAAATCCCTGAGGCTCCATTCATTTTTATAAAAAGCTATTTTTTCTATTGTCTGTACTTCAAATTGGGTAATTTTATTAGCTTATCTTGTTCACTGACTCTCCTGTTATGACCAATCTGCTTTTAGGCTTATCTAGTGAATTTTGTTTTTAAGTGTCAGATATTATATTTCTCAATTCTAGAATTTCCAATTGGTTCTTTTTTATAGTTAATATTCTCTGCTGAGATCTTTTATTTGTTCATTTATCATGAAAATATTTTCCTCTATGTCCTTGAGCATAATTATAATACCTTTGTCTGCTATTTTAAAATCTTTGTTAATTTCACCGGGTGGGTCATCTCAAGGTTAGTCTCTATTGATTGCTTTTTATTTAGTATGGATCACATTTTCCTGTTTTTTTTGTATGTCTAGTGATTTTGGATTATATTCTGGATATTTTCAACAATATGTTGTAGAGATTTTGGATTCTGTTATGTTCCTCTGAAGACTATTGATTTTTTGTTTGTTCGCTTTAGTAAGCAGTTATCTTGGATGAATGCAAATTCCAAATTTTGGTCATCCATGCAGGAGGCAGTTGATATCTATTAGTCTGTTTAGCCTTAGTTGGACTGTTTGGAGTTTGTCCCATACCTGCTCCCCACACAGTTAAAGGTCAGTCAGAGATTTGAGTAGAATTTTTTGTGCAGAATTTGTAGGTCCCCCTTTCTTGCTCTCTCTTTTTTGACATTTCTCCTCTTACTTTCTAACTTCTGTGTTTGTGCCAATCTCTGTTTTCTGATTCTTTAAGCCAGTAAGACTGTCATCCTTCATGGCACCAAGTGGGACCTGCCCTCAGACAAGAGGCTGTAAAAAATGGGAAACATTCTCTTCTTTCAATTGTCAACTTTTGGTTGTTTTCCAGTGACTTAAGGAATTTGGTTTTATATTTTGGTCAGTTTTTAAAGTTACTATCTGTAGGTGGGTTGGTCTTATTAGTGCTTTTCTGCCATACATAGAGGTTGAAACCTGCAATAAAAGAGGCATCCCTGAACAAACCCAAAATGATGATGGTAAAGGAGCATTCTTGGCTGAGGCATGTCACTAGCTGTTTTTTCCCACTCATGGTCAAATGTTCAGCCTTCCTCATCTGGGCTCCACGCATTAGTTACCCTTTGTGATTTCTCTCTTAACTCTGTTGTCCATGCTCACCTTCTACTCTCAGGCCATTACATTCCTAACACTCCCTCATTCTTTCTATTCTGGTCCTACATTTAGAGGCCCAACAGAGTTTTCCTCCCTACCTCCAGATCAGGAGTATGAGCTCTTCCCAAGGTCCACAACCTTGTTAGTGAGGAATAAAGAGTCAGGGAAAGAAACATGGAAAGGGTCAAATTCTTATAGGATTTTAGGTATACAAGAAGAGTCCTAAACTGGCAAGAAATTCTAGGAATCCTATTGCATTAAAAGCCACATCCTAAAATTAGCTTTTGGAGAAAACCAAACAGCTTAGAAGAGACTAGAGATGAGAAGATCCTCTGACAATATGACCAATTTCATCCATGGTGGATAGAAACCACTACCCTTGACTACCTCTTGCTTCTCTGTTCTCCATTTCTATCCTTCCTATATCATTCTGATGTCTGTTCCTACATGCGTTCTTTTCCATAAGGCTTTTAGCTTTTATTTTGTTTTCAGCCCCAGATTTTAAAGTGGACCAGTTCTTTGAGTCTGTGCATTTCTGCACAATGCTGTGTGAGAAATAGATCACTAGTATCTATTAAATCCCAAACACACCCTGGAGCTGTGCATCACTATTGCCATCTCCCCCTCTCTCAGCCTTGACTTTGGCACAGTCTAGTTCCACTTCAACATTTCTGGTATTTATAGATAATCCTCCAAACTATTAAAAAGTGCTTTCCAGCCATTCTTGCAAAAATCTACCCATTTTCCAACTAAACTGTGGAAAATTACCAATCAGAAATCCTTGACAATTCTTCAAAAAGTCCTACAGAGTTTGTGTTTAATTTATCTGTATGGGTGAAACATTTCATGTCTACATCTGCAATTTTACAGTTGGTGATGGTTGCACTCTGAAATATGCCATTAAGAATTTCTTTCCATTGAAGTTTATATCACCAGGTAACAATAAATTCTTCCCAGAGTATATTCCCTATTTTAAAATATACTTTCTTTATCTTTCATTCATAATTGTTTCATGGGAATGGGAGTTTTGGTGCTAAAATGTCTCCCTTTCCTTTCAGTGACTCACGTTGCTCTTTCTCTTATTGCTGTCATATTCCAGTGAATGTGGGCAGTAAGCATAAAGGTGGCCCCAATTTAGTAACTCTCCAATGGACCATCCTAAGTATGACCTTGTCTGTTTCATAGAAAGTGGAATTCATGAGCTCAGATGCCTCCGGGGGCCAGACAGGTACTGAAAAAATAAAGAAATGAGTGTGCAGTACAATGACTGTAACTCAATAGAGAGATGGTGGGAACCATGGCAGCCATGTCCCATCTAAAGAAGGTGACTGCTCCTCAGCTCCAGCAGGTTGTTACCAAGAGGGAATGTGAGCCAGTGCTGCCAGCCCTCCAAGTTTTAAATGAAAAGCCCAGAAATCGAGATTTTTATGAGAAATCTCCTGATTTTTAAATGTTGAAAACTAATTCAGATTTTTAAACAATCAGCTAAGCCTTGCTTGAAGGTTAGTTCTAACCTGTGGGATGAAAGTGTTGCACCTTCTGAAATTCTGTGATTGTGCTGTTTGTTTTACTTTAATGTTCTGGAACTGTTCTGTCGAACATAGCAGCCACTAGTCATATGTGACTATTTAAACACTTGAAATGATGCTAATCCAAATTGAGATGTATTGTAAATATAAAATACATTATGGATTTTGAAGACAGTATAGAAAAAAGAATGTAAAACATTTTAGTTTTTTTTTTTTTGAATTACATGTTAGAATGATAATATTTCGGATATATTTGTTAAAGAAAATATATTAATAAAATTAATTTCCCCTGATTCTTTTTATTAGATTTTAAAAATTGTGCTACTAGATTTTAAAAATGTGCCACTAGATTTTAAAAATTGTATTGTGGCTCACAATATATTTCCATTGGATGGCACTGGTCTAGAATTTAAAAAATAATCAAGCATAACCACTGCAGTTTGGGCAGCCGGTGTCCTGAGGATCCAGCTGGCCAGCAGCAGAGCGCTGGTGACGGCTCCACAGTAACACTCTCCTCAGTGAGCCTTGCTTGTGTGCTGTCTGTTCCTGTTGGCGTTTGCCCACAGACACTAAGAGTGAGCCCCTGCAGCTGCCTCTTTACAAACAAGGATCAAGGACAGCTGGCTCAATGAAGCTGATGTCTTCTGGGGGACTGAGGTGGGGGAAACCTTTGTGGCTATTTGTCTGTGCCCTTGTGCTGCCCTTGGGAGTAATGAGGGAAGTGTCGTGCGAGGTAGCTGGAGGAGAAGCTGGAGAAATTGGTGGAGGTGAGCAGGCTAGCAAGGGGTGGAGAGTCCCTCTGAAAAGTTGATATCTGTGTGTTTACAACCAGTTAGGATTACGCATTGGGGTTGCTGGGGGGAAGGCGGCAGGAACATGAAATATGAGTGATGGAGGGACTCCCATTTATGGAGCCCCTCTCTGGACTGGGCACTGTGTGAGGGGCTGTTCATAGAGCATCTCAGACCAGGTCATTACTCTCAGAGCTCTCTGGTGGAAGGGCTTTGACTTTTTTTTTGACCAGAATTACATTCTAGGATTTTTGTGGAGCAGGGTCCCAGAGGGGAGAGCACTGACCAAGCAAGTCTCCAAGGGAGCTGCTAGACAGTGAACTGGGAGACGGTCTCAGCAAATGCTGATCTAGGGGTTGGAATTCTCTGGGATTTTTGGCTGCTTAAAAGTTAATTTTTTTTCCTTTGAAATTTTTTTTTTTTTTTTTTTTTTTTTTTTTTTTTTTTTTTTTNCAGAAAATAACCAATTCACCCCAGAAGTTGATCAGCTGCAGAAGGGAAGAGGTGGATGCCTGTGTCACAGCCGTGCTGTCTTCCGAGGAACTCTTCAGGGCCTGGATCTAGTGGGCTTGGGGGAAGGGCTCAGGTGAAGCTGAGCACCTGGTCTGCAGGACACAGGAACCATGAGGGGAAAGGCTGTGTTTCTGTTTTCTTCCATTGACAAGGGACAAGAGAAGTAAGAAGAGCCTGCTGTGTCCATGTCTAGAAGTGACTGTCAGAGGCAGAATAGTTTGGTCAACAGAGCACTGACCGGGGGTCAGGGGATGTGACCTCAGACCTGGAGCTGCCATTTCCTAACTAAGTGACTTTGGGGAAAGAGACTTAATCCCTGTGGTCCTGTTTTCTTAACTGTAATGGGGGAATCAACTCCACACCTGTTAATTTCTCTCTCTCTCTCTGTCTGTATATATATGCACACACAGCACTCTCAGGGCTGTAGGGAAACTGGTGCCACTGTATGCTGTGATTGGTTCAGCTTTTCAGGAGAGCAGGATGTAAGTGCGTAATAGAACAATCAAAGGCTCTACACACTAGTTGGCTTGGAGGTCACTTTCCTAGAGGAAGCCCTGAAGAGGGAAGGCAAGATGGGAGCAGGGGCGCTGATTTCGCTTCAGGCCAGATGCCTGTGCAGAGGGCGGTGGCCCAGCAAGCTCTGCAGT